TTTTAAATTACTGACGATCTTTCTCCACTTCAGCTTTATGTATATAAAACATTTTCAATAAACTGGCAGCACCATATAAACATTTTTAAAACCATCTTGTAGTTTATAGTGTTGCAGTATACCTTGAGGAGCGACTGATTCACCGATTTAGGTCAAGGAATTAATTTTAAAATAAAACACAAATGTGTCATTTCTTTGTAAATTTCTTTATATACTTCAGCAAAAAAAAAAAAAAAAAAAACTCACACAAGATCACATTGATTCAAATATTGAAATATGGTCTGGTTTGTTATCCTCAAATCAAAATGATATGGATCGGTGGTTTCATGTAATGCGTCAAGCAAGATTGATGTGAAGAAAAAAGACGGCAGAAACATGTCCTAATAGTCATGAGCCGATATTTCTCTTTCTATCAATAAATAATCAGATCACGGCATTTAAGGGGGCATAAGCGTGTACATAAACATCCATCGTATGGATAACATTGTTTATCCTTCTCATTGCAAGCAATGTATATCCTCTACTTTGAGCAATGACGTTTCTCTATGAAAATAACACAAATCAATGTTATAAAATAACAATTTATTTCTACAAATATTATTCATATAGTATATCACGCCGTCTCTTTTAAAAGCAACTTGGGTTTCAAAAAATATCAAATCTACTTCATCTGTTTTAAGATTGGATCAAGTTCTAAGAAAAGAAAATCTCAAAATGTCAACTAGTCTGACATGGAGCCTCAAGATTATTGACAAACACACAATGATCGTTTACATTATTTTTCAACAAGATTACCAAGTGATCGACATGGTTAACACGTTATAATTTTAAATCGTATTTTTAAAATTAATAGAGAAGCAATCGAACTCGATGGATAAAACTCGCAATGTAAATATATAGTGTGATGTTTCTGACAACAGCGATTCGCAAGTCGTAGATAGATGTTGCCTGTTCTTAATAAAATAACATTCTCCAACCTGTTATCACTCTTTTATTTAATCCATCACATGCACCATCTCAACCTGTCACAGAGCTAAGTTGAGTTAAGGGAATTAAGTGAGGTGAGAATTAGGACTTATAAATTATAGAGTATGGAACTTAGTAAGAGGAACCAATGAGTTAAAAGAGGGAGTAAAATGGAAAAGATGGAATCATGGTAGTTGTTTTAAGCCCATGCTATTAATATATGAATTATATGATAAGATAATGACTAGGGTGTGATTGTGATAAGTATCTAAGTATTCTCTATTTGTGATTATAATTGCTTATTCGTGAGTGTGTATTAATAATAAATGATAGTCACTATATTTCACTGAACTCTACAACGCCTCTGTTGTTAATAGATATATATCGTTAGTAATTAGGTTTGTGGTAGTATGACTGTAAACTCTAAACCAAAACATGACCCTACCGCGCAATAGCGACCCTTGTTGGAAACTAGCCAGAGGAGGTCAACATCTCATTATGCAGATGCGAACTAAATTCTACTCGACAGCAGCTAATTCCACCGACATTAATATCTGCTGAAGCGGGGGAAACCAGCATGGGCTGATCAACCGCTACACGTGAGTGGACTGAATTTTTGAAATTCATTCTGATCACTTGGACTGCTGTATGTTGTCTGCTTAAGTGTCGAGCAAACTGTTAATGGATTTCTTTACGAAACTCACGAGGAAAAAAATATTTTCTATAAAAAAAATTACATTAAAAAAAAAGTAATTAAACACAAACACTATTTTTTTCTTCGAGTGGCATTGCAAGGCAAGCCGGGTTATCGCTACTTTTAAAAAATAAGACGCTACCAAAACTATTCAGTTTATATGTGCTTATTAAAAAAACAACATTGCTCCATAAAAACATATGTGTTACATAACGACGATATTGCAAAATATTACACATTAAAAAAAAAGATTTCTCTCCAAGATGAGTTTAAACGTGTTATAAAATAATATATAAATTTAAAAAAAAATTAAATACATTAAGGAAACCGAGTATGTGCTTCAATGTCGATGAGCACTTTATTTAGACAAAGTCCTCGAACTATGTATATGCTCGGAACAAACTGTCTACAAACATACAAAGTCCATGGATTTGTTGGTAGAAAGACAGCCTTTCAAAATGTCAGTTTAATACGTCAGAATTTATTATATTTTTATTTTTTTTTATTTTTTGGCAACACGTTTAAATAGTTTTGTTGCTCTTCAAAATTGAGATTGGTTATGTGTCGTATAAATTTTAAGATAACTTACTTTGTATGTATTTCAAATCACTTTAAGTGTCAAAGTCTATTTTAGTATAAAGAAAACTGCCACTGTTTAAAAATTATTAATATATTTTTTATGTGATCAGAGCAATTTGTTTAATGATATATTGGCAGGTGATGTTAGAGAAGAGTCGAGTGCTGCATTGGTGAGAGATCGGATAGTATCTTGAAAGATTGGTGTTTCAAAACAATAAATCGAAGGAGCACTTAACAAAACATACTACACTCTGGCACTAACACTTTTGTGTAACCCTCTCTGTTCTGAGCGATATCTAAAGTAAGTGACACCTTCTAAGTGCATAGCTATTAAATTTAGCGTATTTAATTTGGAGACTTTGAAATGAAAAATTAACATGTGTCAGGGATGGAGTGTTAAGGCATGGAGGGGAAGGGGCTGAGATTGCCAGGGTAAATATAAGGACATGTTACTTTCAGTGTTATATTTTACTTTAAGCTAGCAATGATGCTTGTAGGGTGTTGATTTTATTGTCGTAGGTTTGAAATGGAAAGATTGCTTGAGATGGCGTATTGCGTGCCATTTTAGAAGTTAAAGTGTAACTTTAAAGAGAGTTCTAGCAAGTTTTGAGTGACATACTTTTTTAAAAAAATAACACAAATGAGATTCCTATTTAAAAAGTTGGTTTAGGGAGGAAATGTAAAATAGAATAAAACAAGATGAACGTTTGGGTGAATTTAGCCCTATTCAATCAGCGGGATCGTTTAAAAATATAGTGGCACACAAGAAATTCAATATTTTTTTTTTTCATATTAAAAAAGGAAATAAATGGAAATTATTACACAGAACATTTAATTATTTTCATTATAAATAATTGTGTGAACACATTTTGTTAGAATTCTGTAATTCTATGAAATTGACACTACCATAAGCTGTAAATAATAAACATAAAACATTTACTTAACCAACTCAGTACTGTACAGCATCAACTTCCCTAACACCCATTATTTAAAAAGTCAATTTTTTTTTAAAATAATGTTATTTTTACACAGGGTGCGTAACATTGGACACAAGTGTACTTACAAGGGAAATCAATGGATATATCTGGAGTTATTTATATATATATATATATAATGTTTGGGAGCTTAGTTATCGCAGACATTAGCAAAATTCATCAAGTATTAATACATTGTTCGTTCTAAGCTTGAATTTAGAACACAAATACCAAGTCACAAGTAAAAGTTTTAAGCAAAGGAAAAGCCATTGAATAATCTCTAGAATCCATAAAGCTTACCCTCAAAACATCAAAGAGGTGACGTTTAAACAATTCTGTTTTTGGCTGACAAACTTGTTCATTGCATTCCATAATATGCCATCTCTACTGACTGAGTCCAATACAATGGTCAGATTAACAGGCCCTGGTGTTGCTCTTAACACTTTTTTTCTGGATCTGGCGTGGTGCAAATATCATATCATTTGTGTCACGTTCTTAACGAAATCCAAATTGGGTTTTACGATGTAGTTTATGGTCAAGGTTAAGTTGTAAACCATTTAATAGGACTCTGGCCAAGAGCTTTATCGTCATCACTACGAAAATAAGAGACACAGCTCTAGGAAAAGCTTACAAATAACTTATAATATCAGTAAATCGATAGAAACCTTCTGTCTCGGGTTGATCCTGTAGTATAGGCCAAAACGTGCCAAAGTGTACTCGTTTTATAGCCATTTTAATTTTTTCTATAGTATAGTAGTTACTATCCTAGTGTCTCTGGTTCTTCATTTTTTTTTAACTTAGTTTACATGTTTTTAATAATTGTAAAGCGCTTAGAGCTTTAAGGTAAGCGCTATATAAAAATGCCTGAATAAATAAATAAATAAACCTCAAGCAGTTTAAAATAATTATAAATTTGGGCAGTATCTTCTCTAGGTGAGTAACAATTTAAAAAACGTGAACTGTGTGGGCAACAGGTGTAAGTAATTTAGTTTTTTTAAAAAGTAAATTTTCTCCAAGCTTTGAAATTCTTACGTTTGTAACAAATGATATTCTTGAGACATTGATATCCTCATAAAATGTATTAAATTAACTTAGGTAGGTAGTTTTACTAGAACCATATAGAACAACCTAAGCTGTTAGATCTCAATATATATCGCGGTGGAGAAAAATATAGAGCTTTCTAGAAAATTATACATGCAAGTTAACTCCCCTCCCTTTTATAACCCATTATCTTTTGAAAATTATTCTTCTGTGTAATAATTCTTTAAAACGAAAAAATACAACAAAATGCCTTAATTTTTTTAATGAGTTAAATTAGGGAACCTGGTAGAGGTACATTTCATTAGGTGTTGTTTTTGCTTTGTATTGAAAAGTGGACCCAAATAAAAATTCAGTTCGATAAATAAGCAAGTAAAGTAAGTTGTCCATTTAAATCGGTAACAAATTTGGGAGATCGATTCATTTAAATGATTAAACTTGCAGGACATTACTCGACCAGGATTGAGTCATCGAAGAGGATGAATATTATAACTTTAAAATTAACCAAAATTCCAATATTTGTTATTAGGTTATTTCAAATAGGCTTAGTCAAGATCTATGAAATCCCGTTTAAGCTTATAGTTTGTATAAGTCTACTGGTAGTCTTATATCTTCTAAAGGAAAAATGAAATTGAGCCCCCCCCCCCCCCCCCCCAAACCCCCCCCCCCACCCCCCACCCCCCCCCCCCACCCGTCCCGCACCTTAAGAGTAAAAGAACGTCCACTAACCCCCTCCCGCACCGAAGGTGTGGATATTATATAGTATGGTTTTTTGAATCATGTAGAAGTAGAAAGGATTAGATGTCACTGCAAAATTATTCGATTGGATTGAAGCATTTCTGACGAACAGGACAACATTTACGAAAGTAGATCATCAAGTATAGAACTCGGAGGCTCTCAAGGAAGGAATCCCGCAGAGATTGGCCTTAAGCTGCTGCTCCCTGCAATTAACTGATGTGCAGGACAAACATATAAAGCAGAAGGCTCAGAATACCATGTTTCCTTATGATCTGACAATAGGAAGTTTGGGCCACAATTTATTGCAATTATACATTGCTGTAAAAAAATATAAACTGAATAGAATCTGACATTGCAAAGTGAAGAAGGTTTGTCAAGATGGATGTAAAGTTGAATTTTATTTTTACGAATTTAAGAGAACGCTCTTAAGAAGGAAAAACCATCTGTAGGAAAAGGCTCCTGTTGATGTGACTTCACCAATTAAGGCGTAAAGTTTGACAAAAAGTACGCACTCACAACCATATACGTAAATTATTTGTCAAACCCAAGTCAAAACTATTTTTAATGAAAAAATAAACCAGCAAGCTCTAAATAGGAGCAAATCTTATCCGATTTCTTTATCTTTGGCAAAAGAGAGGTACATTTGACTATATCATACAAATCCAGGCCTTGACAAGCCAAAGTCATGAAAATCATACAAAAATTGCTTTCTTTTTTGTGTTCTGGGCCTTCAGCCTTCCCAAACAAAAACTACCATCGTTGAAGAAATATTTATTTACTTAAAACTAACAGGGGTGAGAAGAATCAAAGCATTACAAAATACAGTATAATGGCTATACATTTAAAAAGAATACATTATTTTCCAGTTAGAAGAACTTAAAGTATTGCAGACTATGTTGAAGAACTATTCTTTGTGGATATGTTCAATGAGCTGGAAGAAAAGCCCATTTTACTGCAAAATCAGGGGGAAAAAACGTCTTATTTTGACTTGAAAGACCCGGATACATAAGCATGACTAAATATTATTACTAACACTAGAAAGGGACTTAAAATCTAGCTGTTTAATTTACCTCTTGAATAAAAAAATTCCGACTAAGAAAATACAACAAGAAAAATATAACATTTTTGGGTCTTATTTAGACATTGAGCCATGCACACCTGATTCAAAAGAAATTAATTAGTATATTTAACATTCTACATCAACATAACCGCTCCAATGTTTAGATTTTCCTGTTAATATTTATAATAATACGTTTCCATTCATCTTTCTAACAATATGTAATTTACGAGATTCTAAAATAAATGGACAATAAGTAAAATTCTTAACTCTTTGTTGTCAGTCATCGTTTCACTTCATATCACTAGTTTAAAAAAAAAAACAAAAAAACTACGATACGACTCCACTGATTGTTTCATAACCATGATATGGCTCTAATGAGTCATAATCTCCCCTGACGTGCTCGCCAATATTGATATTAGTCAGATCAATGGGAATTAAGTAGCCATCATCATTTTCCCTTATTTGTTTTAATTCAACATTTTCGTTAGCAGACATGTTTCCCTTGGCATTTGTGTATCCTGAAAAAAGTAATTAAATTTTTTTTTTAAAAATAAAAAATCAAGTTTTTTTTTTTTTTTTTTGAAAATATAATTACAATTGTAAATTTTTTTTATGGGACAATATAAAAAGGAAAAAAAATAATAAACTATTCAACCCAAAAATAGTGTACCGTTTCCTTTAAAATATGTTTAAAAAAAAATTTTCCCTTATTTGTTTTAATTAAACATTTTCGTTAGCAGACATTTTTCCTTTGGAATTTGTGTATCCTTAAAAAAGTAATTAAATTTTTTTTTTAAAAATAAAAAATCAAGTTTTTTTTTTTTTTTGTTGAAAATATAATTACAATTGTAAATGTTTTTTATGGGACAATATTAAGAGGAAAAAAAATAATGAACTATTCAACCCCAGAGTAGTGTACCGTTTCCTTTAAAATATGTTTAAAAAAAATATAACTTCTGTGTGCTTTAATGCAAGCAAAAATTGAAATGATAATCGCTCCAGCTATCATAAATACTATGAAATCATCTGATTCTGGAACACGTAATTACTCGGAAATATGTCTAATCCCTTACACTACATTTAAAAAAAGAAGATATACATGCAATGAATTTGTGTCATTAGTACAAAGTGACTTAGACTTACGTCTCAGTTTTACACACAGAAGAGCAACAACAATCCATGACATAACTAGCAATACTGCTTCAACTATAGACACTCGAATAATAATGTCGACATGCTTGTCGTCTGAACCTGCTGTACAGAATAATTATAGTAGATAAATTTAACCTAATACATATTTTTTTTTGTTTTGTATTTGAAAAAAAAGATAACTTCAAACTTATACTGTCTGTTAATAAATTAAGTTAGTTGACATTTTAAAGAAAAAAATCGAAAGTTATATATCACATGTTAATAGATTTTCATTAAAAACTGAACGATTACATTTATATATATATTCGTGTCAGTGGCATACCAGGGGTTTGCCATACGGTGCGGTAAACTCATGGTGTAACCCCCACCACCAACCTTCCATGACTGATTTCTTCTTGTTGAATATGTCCACCGCATAACAATGACAAGAAGAAAATCACATAAATTTGAGATCATGAGGACAAAGTATTTATTTGTACATACATTTATTTTATTAACAATTTTTCACTTATTGTCTTCAAAGGTGCAAACCTGTCAATCACTTTATCAAAATTTGTATACTTCACAATATCACATTCAATTGATAGCGGAGCCAGATCAAAAATAATTGACTTTACAACCATCGCCTGCCACCATTTCATTTCCATCGTCTGGCACCATTTCATAGCCATCGCTTGGAACTATTTTACAGCAATCGCCTGGCACCACTTCACAGACATCGCCTGGCACCACGTCACTGCTATCGCCTGGCACCACTTCACTGATATCGCCTTGCACAATTTCATAGCTATCGCCTGGCACCATTTCACAACAATCGCCTGGCACCATTTCACAACCATCGCCTGGCACCACTTCACTGCCATCGCCTGGCACCACTTCACTGACATCGCCTTGCACAATTTCACTGCCATCGTCTGGCAACCATTTTACTGCCGTCGCCTATCATCACTGTACTGCCATCGCCTGACACCATTTCACGGGCATCGCCTGGCGTAATTTCACAGCCATTGCCTGGAACTATTTAACTGACATCGCCTGGCACCATTTCATTGCAATCACCTGTCAACATTTCACAGCTATCACCTGGCATCATTTCACAGCCATCGCCTGGCACCCATTCACAGCCATTTCCTGGCTACATTTCACAGCCATCGCCTGGAATCACTTTACAGACTTCGCCTGGCACCATTTCACACCTACCCTGTCATGTAAGATATCCATATTTCAGGGCAAGGCTTGCCCTCCATTAACACCTACAAAGCATATTGTCCAGACGTGTATAGGACGATCGCCAACAGATCTGACCTGGACCTGCTACCACAAGAATGATCTCAATCTGTTAGCTTAATGGGAGATGAACTTGCACATACCATTCAAAGAGAGGTCCGTTGGTACGAGCATACTAATCATGTGTGCAACCCTGCAAATAAGGCCCTGGGGTTTATAAGGCGTAATCTAAAGGTCGGCACTTCTAGTGTTTTAAAAAAAGTGCCTATAAAGTCTTTGTCATGCCTCATTTAGATTATACATTCTCTTTCTGGACCTATTTACCCAGGAGAGCATCGACAGGTTTGAGGCAACTGACAGCTAGCTTTGTCCTGAACAGCCACAGGAATACCTCTAGTGTTGGCAGCAGGCTGGAAACACTGGACTAATCACAATGGGAGGAATGACGACTATCCATTCTGATGTAGTAGATAAATAATTGGCTTGTCCCCTGCTCCCGTATTATACAGAATAGAATACCTCTAGTGTTGGCAGCAGGCTGGAAACACTGGACTAATCACAATGGGAGGAATGACGACTATCCATTCTGATGTAGTAGATAAATAATTGGCTTGTCCCCTGCTCCCGTATTATACAGAATATGCTCCCACTTCCCAAAGACAGCAACGAGGCCATGAATCGCAGATACTTCTCATACCAGCGCGAAGCCAGTATAGGAACTGCTAATTCTTGCCAACGAAACAGGATGCCAACAGTTCAGGGTGTCATTTGCACTTGAGGCCACTAAATATTATTTTGGAATAATGTTTAGAGCACATTTTATGTGACATAAACTGACGAGATGTCGCATGTTATTAGCTTTGTAAAATATGCATCGCGAAAGTTTAAGTAAGAAAACATTTTCTACTATTTTCTCTAAATTTTTAGTTGTTTTTTTTATTTTAATTAAAAAAGAAGACATTTTGAGTCTCCACAATCTGGGGAGTGAGTTAATGTTCATGACATTACAATGCTCTGCGTTCAAGCTAGGAAAAAGCCTACTAGGTTTTCTGGATTCTACAAAGTATAAAATTGCCCCACTCTTCCTAAAGGAGAGATGCACATGAAAAAATCAATGAGTAATTTAAATATTATTTGTGCTCTCGACCACTGCTGATGATCGATACTTTGTATTGATTATTTTCATTCTGTTAAGAGCAAATTAGAATGAATGAAAAAATAATCAGAATTGATGTATTACTAGCTGACAGACTACCATGAAGCACTGGTTGATGTCAGTTGAAATTTACCCCATTTTTCAATAATGAGTTATCCGAGAGTAAGATTTTAATTGAAATATTGAATTGAAAGTTTCGAGAATGTGACATTGTGAGTAGATGCATAAAATAAACACTAGCCCTATCACATCATTAATTATAATTATGTGAATAAAAAAATACATTACTGAAAAAATTTTAATTGAAATATTGAATTGAAAGTTTCGAGAATGTGACATTGTGAGTAGATGCATAAAATAAACACTAGCCCTATCACATCATTAATTATAATTATGTGAATAAAAAAATACATTACTGAAAAAACACACCTGGATGGGGCATTTCACAAACGTTTACTGTTAAACTGTCATGTGTCCATTCACGATATCTACTAACACTGCACTGGTACACACCAGTATCATCACAGCTTGTTGAAGGTATGCGCCACTCTATTGTATTGTTAAAGGCGGAAGCTAATATTTTCCCATCCTTAATTATTTGAATGAACTGGTTATCTTCTTTATCCGCTTCACAGAACAAAGTCATGTTTGTGAAACGTTTAATAAAAATTGTTTTGTTAACGTCTTCCTTAACAGAAAAATGTTTAATAATTTGAGGAACTGTGAAAATAGAATACATAAAATATTACACATTTTTATTGATCGCAATGTTTCATTGCATGTTCCGAAAAATGCAAAATGTTATAACATAATAATATTGTAAAAGATATTACATGTTAACCATTTTTTCCAATTGAAACGATATCTTAAACTTTTTAAATTTATGTGTAGAAGGTGGGCCAAAAAAGATGAGTCGTCTGTAACATATCATGGATTGGCAAGTTGTGTCTTGAATAGGTAATACAAACGTTGTATTGAATGACTCCGTAACCATTGAAAACACTTAATTTTACTGTTATCACATTCTTATAAAAGGAAAACACATGTAATACTAAAGCCTGGACACAAGTATCCAATAGTCCATACCTTGGAATTATCTTCTCAAATAACCAAAAATGGTCACCCCATATAAACAAAAATTAAAAAAAAAGCCAACTCCACCCTAGGTTTTATCCGAAGAAATCTGCGCCACTGCGCAACTTTCTGCAAACAAAATGCCTATTTCGCACTCGTCCGTCCACTACTCGAATATGGTCATCTGGGACCCACACCTTAAGCAAGACGTGGACACGATGGAGCGAATTCAACGTAACGCGGTGCGTTTTATTGCTCGAGACTACAAATCCACCACTCCTGGCTTCGTCACGGCTATTAAAAAGATTTGATACCGTCCTCCCTTAAAGACAGACGAGAGGGCTCCGCCTGATATTCTTATATAAAGTGATCCTGGTACTTGTGCCGGCCATCTCAGCAGGCACGTAACTCACTCCACAGAAGCCGGGTAGACTGATCAGAGCAACACGCTCACTGAACACTGACTTCACCACTGACATTCCCATAAACAATTACACCAGAAGCAATAGCAAATGCTTCAAAGTTCCTCAGTGCAACAAAGTTCAGTATTAACAATCTTTATTCCCACGCACAATAAAAGAATGGAACCACCTGAACGAGGCCACTGTGAACTCGACATCGGTCGAAAGCTTCAAGGCTGCCCTGGCATCAGCTAGGAGTTGTTAGAATAGCAACATCATATCCTCAACCGCTGTAAAGATGCCAGTACATGGATGCAGCAACGAAACATTACCAGAAACAGAACCAGAATTGTGAATATTACTGATATCACATTATCTACTGGTGTTGCCTTGCTATTTAAGCTAAAAATTAGTAGCCATTCTCGACGATGCAATATGAAGAAGCACCATCTCACACAAACAGAAAAAATATTTACTTTCGGTTGTTGTTGTTGTTTTTTTGTAAAAGTATCTTTGCTTAACCAGGCATGAGGTCACAAAGCAGTCGTAATAAAGACTCATTATATTGTCGTTTGTGCAAATCTGGAAAAAGTATTTACCCTCAGAGAAAATTACCATTGCTTTTCAGCAGAAGACATGAAGAAAATGCTTGAAGAATGCTTTATTGGCATTAAAACATACAAAATTAGGAAACTCTTACAGTAACAGTCGCTGTTTTAATAATTGTTCTATGTTGTTGTCATGTGGTCAGTGTGGACGCGGTGAGTTCTTTTATGAATGTCTAAAATGTGTAAAAACTTGTTTGATAACTGGAGTGAGGGGACATGTGATGTTGGCTATGAAGAGAATATATCATTGAGATAAAGCTAATTATTGCACAGACAACAGCCTTGAGTTCATATAGTGTTATACCATTACAGAAACATGGAACAAAATATCTTGTGAGTGACGCCTTATTTCTGCAAAATTACAAAGCAATTACAATAATAAATAACCATATATTAAACAACCGTCTCAAATTTGGGCAAAACCTGTATATTAATGAATATCTATAAAGCTATAGATATATTGGTTTATGGATAGATGGATGTGTGAATGGATTGTGGATGGACGCATGGATGTAGTGATGAATGGATTGATAGATGGATGGATTAACTATTTTTATAGGCTTAATTATTTGTTAAGTGTTTAATATTAAGACAAATAAATATTTGCAAACTAAATTTTGCCATTATTACAAATGTAACAAATACATACTTAAAAAGCAGCACTTTTTATGAATACTTACATGTAATATTTGGTTGATATAAAACAGGGTTACTTGTCCGTCCAAAAATGTCTTTTGACTGACAATAATGCATTTCTTGAATTTGGAAATAAAAATCACCAATGCTAATGAAATCTCAAATCATTCACGTTTAAAACCAATAACAACATTCACTTCAGTTCATTCACTTGATAAAGGTTCCTGAAAAAACAAGCCGCGGGCCGGATCAGGCCCACATTGTGTCGTTAACCCGGCCTTTGGGCCGTCGTATGGGTACCCGTGTAATAGTAACGAACATGGAAATGGATGTTGAAAATCTAATTAGCCAAAGGCAGGCCATTACTTTCCACTGAAATATCTATAATTTAAATTGGTTTAAAATTGTTATTTTTTTGTAAAAAAAATAAAAAAAAATTCCCTGTTCATTTTTTCAATAATTATACTATATGTGCACTGTGCACAGGAATTCATTACATTTTAAACGATGCTATGTTGCCCAAATTGTGTCTGAGGGAAAGTAAAACGTCCTCCAAGTGTCTAAGGCACAGAGATACGGTCGAATAATTAAACAATTTGAGCACCCCTGCAATACAGCCTTATCTAGACTGTTACATTTTAATCAAACACTACTGTCCATTTCAAATTAAAAATGAAAACCATTTTTTTCAACATTTCCTTTCCTTTCTCACACTTTATACATTTATTATATATAATATAATGTAAGTTTTCGTTGTCATCCTTCCAACATCATATCCCACGCACTTTCACACAAAATCATTTGCTTTCAACATATCGGCATTATGAACAACTTAATTACTGATCATAATTACTACAAACTAGCGAAGAGGGGCCAATTTCATGTGGGTGATTTGTTCTGTTCACTTAATAAACAATTTTTTATGGTTTAAGTTTGATGAGTTTTCGTTTTATAAACTGTAACGTATCTACCACCCAAAAAATCTTACAATTCTTCCTTTTAGATAATAATACATTATACATCTGTGTAAACAGAACAATAGATTGAAACATTAATTTAATATATATATTATATATATATATATATATATATATATATATATATATATATATATATATTATATATACATTAGCATGTTCCTTTGAATGAGTTTTAAAATAATAAATAACTAGGACAACAAAACCAAAATACTTCAATTAATTACCTGTTACCATCTGCCTTAGAACTATAAACCACAGAAATCCAAGAAACTCTTCCTATAATAATTTCATTTTCGAAAAAAACCTCTCCGATTAAGACAATTTCCATATTTAACAGATTTTTCTATTAATTAAAAAAGAATGAGTAAATCAATATTTATCACCTTTTTCGATAATGTCAGTGAATGATGCTGAACTAAACAAGGAAATGGTTTCTTGTAAAGAATATTTTATGTTTTCGATTAAAAATAAAATACCCTTAAATTTTTTTAAAATTATCTTTATATTCTATAAGTAAATTAGTAATTTCATTTTTTTTAAAAATGAAATAAGTATTAGGGATTTTGGAAGTATTTAGCAAGTGTTTTGAAATGAAAATTGTAAGAACGAATCTTGAAATATGTTAATGGTGGCGCGCATTGTCAAACCGGACAGTCCATCCCACACAAAGTCAGTTCGCTAATGTAAACTAAAAATGATGTTATTACCTTTCATATTTCTGTTTCCTATAAATGAGATTGATCCGTTACTGACGATATTTTGTGGAGTGTTCTTATACCAATAAATGTCAACATCAACTTGACTCGAGTCAGCTCTTTCACAACAACAAGTTATATTGATTCCTTCTTGCACTGTTTCCGGGCAATTTTGAATAGATACTGATGGTTTCTCTGAGTAAAAAAAATTAAATAAAAGCCTGCTTGTGATATATATATATATATATATATATATATATATATATACATATACATATATACATTTAAAATTGAATAAATATAATATATTTTATTTATATTTTGCTCGGAATAAATAACGTATTTGCATTTATTAAAAATGCAAAACAAAAAGGAAAGCAAAACTTCTATTTTCCAAACACGAATCATCGATTTCGTCGGATATCTAAACTTCCCTTGTATTTAAAAAAAAAAAAAAATCTTATGAAATGTCTATGACATGAAGTACTGGTATATAAGCTAAATCTTAAAATATCTTCTGAACCATGTCGCTTAATACTAATACAATTACAATTTTGATACTGCGCAAGCAGTCACCAGACTGGGATAATGTGATTCTCAGACATTTTAAGCAAAATATATATTTCAGAATATCGCAGGATACTCGCCTGCAAAGACAAAGTGACATAGGATTTTTATTATAATGGTCACTTATCTATTTTATGAAATGGCGTTTCCCAAACTAATAATAATTTTTTTACCAAGTTCCATTACCAATCAGTTTTTGACATAATCACTTCACATTTACATCTTCAACATCACTGTACATATTACACTGTACAATAAAGCCACTTATATTTAAAATATAGGAATGTAAATTTATCTAGGACCTAAATTCTGTAACGTGTGTTTGGTTAACTAAACATGAAATTGTTTATACGAATCTCAACGCGGTGCTGAATAATTTAAATAAATGATATTGAACGGTAATTAGTAAGTAACTTAGAAGGCCACAGTTTTTAATTTTTTAATCAGACTTTCTAACCTAGATTTAAAAATGTGGATTTCTTTGTTCCGTAAATTTTTGAGTCATTTGCATGACCTGTTACGTTTGGATAGACTGTAACGTTTACAGTTATTAGCCCGTCTGTTGAATTTGTGACAGGAATTGAAAGTGAGCAATTTTTCATGGAGTGGTTGACATTCATTTTTGTAGCTTCGTTGATCGTAGAATTGCTTGTGTTATATTTTCCCTGCAAAGAGTAAACAATGACATACTACTAATGAATATGCTCCTTACTCGTTATAAGTTTTTATTATTGAATAGAAAAGATTTAATTTTAATAAATGCATTAATTACCTTCTTTGACAAAGGTGTATACATAATGAATAGAACATTTAATATGTACACATATTTATGTCTATTTAAATTAAAGAAAAAACGTCTTCTTTTTAAAAGTTTTAATACATTTTAAGATGCAATTTTGAGCTTACGATTATAAGGTCAGTATCAAACACACAATCACCATTCGGATACATTCTCGAACTCAAACACTGTACTGTAATTTCATCTTTAGTGATAATTGTAGAGCAGTTCAATTCTCTGGCTTTCACTGAAATGTTGATCTTGGAAAACAAAAAGCATACGATTTACACTATTTATTTAATGAGAATAAGGAATGCATATCAATAACAATTAATTTAATTATTACATAGCAGGTAGTTCAATAACCACATTACACTTACGGTAAAATGAAACGGTACACTTTTTGTTGTTGTCTGTAATGGCATTATCAGTTAAAGTTAAAAACATGTGAGCGCCATTCTTTGTCATGGATACATTGTAGATATTCACGGTTAAGACATCTTCATTAGCCTCTTCTAATAATGTAACATTAAATATATTTTCTTTTTGGTTTGGTAAAGTGTAATTTGGACACTCTAAAACACCAAATGTAGTCACAATTCGAGGCATTGCATTAGAGCAGGATGAATTTACTTTGAAGACAACTTGATGGTTGCTCCCAAGAGCAGCTGGATTACAAGATGTAACCTGGCACATCACGGCTAAATTAGAATAGACACAAACTCAGAATTAGTACAATAGTTAAAACACTAAAATCCCCACCCCCCTTTTCTCACTTAATTTTGTTTTAAGTTTAATTTAAACATAAACAGTAATTTTTTGTTAAATTATTCGATCAAGTTGAAATGCGTTATGTTAATATATATTACATTTGTATGTCATACACTTTTTATTACCAATGTATTTTTATGGCTGATTGTTTAAAATATACTAAATGTATGTAATATTATCGATTTTATTTTAATATCAAGAACATGCAAAAACTTACAAATGTGACCAAAGAGGAAACAAATAGTTACAGTAGATATCAAAAAACGAATTCCAATTTTTACTTGCATGGCAGCTTGAAATCCTGTTTAAGCATATTATTTGTTTTTAAAAGTACCATAAAATTAGAATAATCTTTTAAAAAAATTCTATGAAATAAAAAAAACTTTAAAAAAACTTCTTTTCAACAAAAAAAAAAAAAAAAAAAAAAAAAAAAAAAAAAAAAAAAAAAAATTTAAAAAAACTTTTTTTAAAAAAAAAAAAAAAAAAAAAAAAACATGAAAAAAAAAAGTGAAACGACTAAAAAGGTTTTCATTTAAATAAAATTTCTGGACGATAAATAAATAGACTAATTTAAAATATATATGAAAATTTAAAAAAGAAAAAAAAAATTAAATGATTGACTTAAAGGGGGAAAAAAAGTATTTTAATTAAACTACACAACGTTGATTTTATTTAATAGTTCATCATATACTGTGAACTCGACATCAGTCGAAAGCTTCAAGGCTGCCCTGGCATCAGCTAGGAGCTGTTAGAATAGCAACATCATATCCCCAACCATTGCAAAGATGCCAGTACATGGATGCAGCAAAGAAACATTACCAGAACCAGAGCCAGAAAATGTTAATTGTGATTGTCGAATGAGATTTACGTGGGATGGGTGTGTGTAAAATTTTCAAAACTAAATGTATACTATTTATAAATTCTAAAACTCCTTAGTTAAATATATATGTGAAACGATACTTTTTTTAAATAAAGTAATTTTAAAGTGATAAAATAACTTATCTCCACAAGTGATATTTTATTTTTTAATAAATACATATTAATTGAATATTGCAAAAGATGAAAATAAAACTTACTTATCGGTGATGGATTTTCCATAACTTACCAGCTACACCATATCACAAATAGAACATTATCTTGACACGAAACTTTTTTTAAAAACATTTTGTATTAAGATCGGTTTTATGATATTTTTAAAAAATCATTTTAGTTTTGTAAACTACTACACCTTTGGAATTTTCCTAACGTTTAAGAAACTAAGGTTATGTGATAATAAACTTTGATATACGAGCTTTTTTTTAATTTAAAGTATCACTCACTTATAGTATACACAGCTTGAAGAAATACACACGATTTCAGTGTGCTCAATATATATATATATATATATATAAGAAGTACAATAGGATGACTGTACTCATTTAAAATGTTCAATGTTAAACGATATTTATAATTAAGCGTTATGGTTAATTAGCAGACATGCAATGTGATCGAAAAATAAAAGTCTTTAATAAATACATGTTACAAAAGGCCTGACTAAAGATATGTAAAACTTCAAGATTTCGGCTTGAGGAGTGAAGAAATGTGACGAACAGACATCCTGAATCAAGCTGATTTTCGTCCAGTCAAAAGTTTAAATTATATCAAAAGAGCCACTTAAACCCACAATGCACTTAAATTGCTCTAGTTTTATGTGTTGATGAGTGTTAAGCATGAGCGTTAAACAAAAAAGCAGGAGGGTAAAAAACAAAACAGTGTCTGAAATCAATTTACAAGCTCAAAAGTTACTTGCTGAACTAGATCACATGTAATAGTCAATTGATAGTGAGTAGATAATTTTATTATTTAAAGTAAGTGTAGGACTTATTTTGGAAATGGCATACGTCCCGATATAAGAAAGAAAAACATAAAAAGTGTTTTTAATTAGTGAATTTGGCTAAATAACTGTTAAGAAAGTATATGCAAATCTAGCTGATAATGTACCGACAAACAAACAACGGAGGAGGTAGAGTACTTTGCAACCCTGGGAAAAGACTTATTTTTTTCATTCTTCTATACACTGAAACCCATTGTTTACATTAATAAAATGTAATCAAATCATACAATGTCTGGTGCACACTTTAACTATGCATCAGTAAAAGATTGCCCCAGATTTAATAATAGATATTATATTCCTTTATAAATTACTAAATTGGCAGTTATGTTAAGTTCCACTTAAGAGTCTTAAAAAATGTTCAATTAAAAAAAAACAGTGCGTGGAAAACAATAAATTACGCCAAGAATTAAAGACATACACATACAACCCCCCCCCCAAAAAAAAAAAAAAAAAAAAAAAAAAAAAAAAAAAAAAAAAAAAAAAAAAAAAAAAAAAAAAAAAAAAAAAAAAAAAAAAAAAAAAATAAAAAATGTTCAATTAAAAAAAAACAGTGCGTGGAAAACAATAAATTACGCCAAAAATTAAAGACATACACATACAACCCCCCCCCCAAAAAAAAAAACAAAAACAACAACAAAAAAACAAAAAAAAAACACAACAACAACAAAAAAACAAAAACAAATCTAATGAAAAGAGATGTAACCAATTATTTGTGCTAATCTTGTAGTAGAAAATATTACATCAACTATTTAGAGGCTCATATCAAGTACTTTACAATAGTGAAGGGTACTATTTGCATTGTACGATGGTAAATAGAAAAAGGTAAACATTTAATACTCACAAGCGCGGTACGAGCCCGCAAACAGTTTGTTAGGTATAGTCTGAGTTTGTTAGGACAGTCACTTTTATATGTCCTGTCAGATAAAAGCTCAAAACTAAACTTATAATGACCCGTGAAATAGCCCATTGAAGACAATTAAAGATACTGAACTATTTTTCCGTCCCGGTGTAGTATTACCAGAATGTGTTTTCTGTTCTACAACTACTACCTTGACGGGATCTTTTTTAAAGTTTTCAGTCATATGGCTTAGTTAAAACACCGCTTAGCAGAGAAATACCTCACAGTTTCTTTGGAATTGAAGTGAATTCAAGATCCGTCAACAATGTACACCACTTGAAAATTTTCCAGACACATGTCTTACTGAAACCATGAGTCGAGATTATTCTTTCCACCCAACACTCGATTGGTATTTTCATCTCCGTTTTAACCATGTTCGTGACCTAAACTCTTTTGAAGAGCTGAACCTTATAAAACTAACAGATATTGATGGAAATAAAACCTCCCTTAAACATGTAAGCCCTTTTGACGAGGCGTACAAAAAATTGAGTATTTTAGGTTATTATGTACACTGAAGCAGACGAAGCTTGGGGTAAGCCTTTCAACCTCTTCAAATCACAATTGCTATTTGTTTTCCATCCTCATTGTATCATGCATTGTGACAAGCCTTATAGCATTGTGGAATTAAAACAAAAAAGTATCAGAGGTATCAACAAAGCTTGCAAACAAAATCAACATCTAAACATATATATATGTTACAAACGTTGCAGCAATACTCTTCTCATCTTAAAAATTTTTTTTTTAAAAAGAATGACAGCAAAACGTGTCATAATGGACTCTTAACACAAGTACAAAAGAAAGGCGAAGCTTTGAGAAAAGATGAGCGACAAACCAGGTATACATTACAAAACGTTGTTAATGAATTTACCTATGATTTCATCACACCACATTATTTCTATTAAGAAAAGCAAAGATCGAAATTGAGTGAAGAAGGTGGAGTGTTTTTTTCTGGATGCACCAGGTTGCAACGGAAAGACGTTTCTATTGAGTCTATTTGGGCAAAATTTTGCTGGCAAAAACATATGACATGATGTGGAATTAGGCTACCAAGTGTCATCAGAACGTGTTCAATGCACTTTACAAAAATCTACAAGGCTTTACAGAAAATTACTTACTGATGGGAGGTATCATTGTGTTTTTTTCTGCTGACACTCGACAGAGGTTACAATTCTTTGAGAAGCTCCTGCTGATCAAGTATGGCTTGTCTTAAGAATTCTCCTATTTTAGAAAACGTGGTAACAATCCACCTAACGAATAATACTCGAACTTTCTTAAGGGGTAGCATTCTGCATAGATATTTTCAAAAATACTAACAGAAATTGATGAAGGGAAAATAATTCCTAGTAATCACAGTTCTGATCAGTCTACCAGGCTGATCCATTGTAGAAACAGTAAAGGATTTGATTGAACAAATTATCCCAATCCTGCAGAGAACCTTTAATATAACTGAGTGGCTAAGAGGTTCCATCTTTGCTGATCATAATAAAACAGTGTCTGAAATCAATTTACAAGCTCAAAAGTTACTTGCTAAACTAGATCACATGTAGTAGTCAATTGATAGTGAGTTAAATCATACAGATTTAGTTCATTACCCAAAATAATTTTTGACCTCAACCCAAACTCTCGATTTACAAGCTTAAATTCTCATTTTAAGGTTGGCTGCCCTATCATGCTTATTCAAAACATAAGCTCGGCTCATAGACATCTAACTTCTTAAAAAGTCATCAATTTAACCATTCTGAATTTATATTTCAAGGTAAATAAGTATGCATTCAAAGAATAGGTATATTCTTTCTAATGGAATAATGTTCTTAAAAAGAATACAGTTGTTAGTGAAATTATCTTTTCCCATGAAAATTAATAAAGCGCAAATACAGTCCTTAAAACAGCTGGAATTAATCTACTCACACCTTGCTTCTCCCACTTCTTGCTTCTCCCACACCTTGCTTTACCCACACCTTGCCTCTCCCATTCCCAGTAATATGTTGCCTGCTCATGGGTTGCCAAAGAGAAGATTCTGTTTAAGACAGCTGCTGATCTAAGAAACAAGAATATTGTCTACTGAAGTGCATTGAAGTAATTTATTTCTGAAATTCTCACCATTATGTTATTTCTTTAAAACGGCATTAATTCCTAAAAAGAGAAATATCAGGATGATTTTTATAAGCTGACAAGAAAACTTAAGCACAAAATCCAATCCGATTCAATGAACTACCTATTTAAGAAGTGGATGATGTTCTTATGGTTGGTGATGAATATGGTTCACAAAACATAACATTACATTCACAAAACCCACGTGAAAAGCACTATTTGAGATACACATGGATGCTTTGATCCAATGCATATTATTATAATGTTTATTATTAATATTATAAGTGATTTTAAATAGCGTGCTAACCCAGCCTAGGGCCTAGGGCTGAGCTCACTAGCTCACTACAATTTAACAAACATTGTTTAAAACTTTAACAAAATTAATTACCATACATTAAATAAAAAATAACAAAACGAATGTATAATTAAAACTATAAACATTTAAAGCCATGGATAACACTCAGTGGCATCGTTTTTCGGTCAAATGTGGGAATCAGTCAGGATAATAAAGTTTAAAAATATGCTTTTTAAGTGCAGTTTTGAAGGATGTGATGGTTGGTATATTGCAAATGTGTAATGGGAGTAGAGACAGACCGAAAGTGATTTTGTGATTTCGGCCGAAGCCGAAAATAGGCTGAAAGTTTAAAATGACTTTCGACTGACACCGAAAAACGCCGAAAGTTTTAACATCACTTTCGGCCTAAACGGAAAAAGGGCCGAAAGTTAAAAATGACTTTCGGCCAAAACCGAAGCCGAAGCTGAAAATGAAATATTTACATATTTTGAAATTCATTCCTGCATACACTCTGCACACATCGAAAATGAAGGGGGGGGGAGTATAAATATTTTCATTCTTTTCATAAAAAATGAGATAATCGTGAATATAATAAAAAAGCATCTAAAATTGGGGTCTCAAACTTGCGGCCTGCGAAACATTAGTTCTTAAAGATCGTTTACTTTGCTCTTAAAGATCGTTTAGTTTATTGTTAGTGATCAGTTATTTTGTGCTTAAAGATCGATGAGTTTATTCATAAAGCTCGCTTACTTTGTTCTAAAACATCGCCAATTTCATCTGAAATATCACTTAATTTGTTCTTAAAGATCACTTATTTTGATGTTAAAGATCATTTAGTTTTGTTCTTAAAGATCACTTAGTTTGTTGTTAAAGATCGTTAAGTTTTTTGTTAATGATCGCTTTATTTGTTCTTAAAGATCAATTAGTTTGTTCATAAAGATCGCCTGGTTTGTTGTTAAAGATCTTTTAGTTTGTTGTTAATGATCGGTTAGTTTGTTCTTAAAGATCGGTAAGTCTGTTCATAGAGATCGCTTGGTTTGATGTGAAAGATCGCTTAGTTTAATCTTTAAGATCGCTTTATTTGTTTTTAAAGATCGTTAGTTTGTTCATAAATATCACCTGGTTTGCTGTTAAAGATCGTGCAGTTTTTTGTTAATATCGCTGTATTTGTTATTAAAGATCAGTTAGTTTGTTCTTAAAGATTGCTTTGTTTATTTTTAAAGATCGTTAAGTTTTTGTTAATGATAGCATTATTTGTTCTTAAAGATCGGTTAGTCTGCTGATAGATATCGCTTAGATTGTTGTTAAAAATCATTTACTTTGTTTATTAAGATTGCTAAGTGTTTTCTTAAGGATCGCTTAATTTTGGATGGCCGAAAGTCTATGTCAATTTC